CTTTTCTGATATACATCCCCCCCCCTTTCTTTCTTTCTTTCCTGTCTTTGCAATTACTTTTGACTTTGATGTCACTTCACAACTCATTTGGTCTTTGGCTATTAGTGTTCAATGCATCAAATCTATTCTTGGTGTGGTTTTTAAATTTAGTTAGAACAGATTCCTGATAGTAATTTGGTTCTCATGAACTTATTTTAATTTTCTTCAACTTCAATTTGAACTTGTGTATGAGTTACTGATGATCTATTCTATAGCCATCCCCTAGCCTGGTTTTGACTGCTAATATTTAGCTTCTCTTTTCAATCTCTCAACAAATATGGTTAATCTGATTCTTATGTAGTGGACAAGGTGAGGTTTATGTGTATAGTTGTCATTTATGCTTTCTGAAAAAAGGTATTTCTAATGAATAAATGATTGCTTGTGCAAAATTTTGTCATTTTATTTTCAGCCTCATGTCTGTCACCAAGTTCCAACCACCAGTCCTTCTTTGTTTACAACTTAAGCATTTCAATTACAGATTATTATTACATCTTTATTGAATGTTTGATCCACTTTGACCTGCAAAAGTTGGTATACTGCTTCAATTTCTTTACTTATGGCCTTCATTATTGATGTGTATATTTGAATAATATTTGTATTGTCAAACCTTCCTTATATGGGATTGAGTTGTATCTTATCACTCACAACATTGCACTTAAATATAGGTTTTGAAATGCTCTTTTGGATTATGAATGCAACACCATTCCTTTTCAATTTATCATTTCCAGCATAATCACATGACTGTTTGATTCAAAATGTCATTATTATTTTATAGAATATATAATTTCAAAATTTGTTATGTTGTTTTTCCAAAAATATTCATCCTAGAATTTTTTTTCTGATTTGGCATTGAAAGCTTTTATTGGTAAATGGTTTTATTGACACTGGAGAACCTTGTTTTATTTTCTCAAGTTTATGTGCCTTTTCAGTTACTGAAGAACTTTGTCTTTCAGAAATCCATCTCTAAATTGCCAACAGAGCAGTCTAGTGTTTGTGAGAACAGAAGGACCCTTCTTTTGATGTTATCTCTGAGCTGTTTCCAACATAATTGCGCACCTGTAATAGAAACTAGTCCTGATTTCCTGAACACTACTTCTGTCTGTTTTCTAACTTTTAAAAGTAATTGCTTGGTCTGTTGGGCCTACTTTCTTCTTAAATAAGCTCTTCTCCTTTACATTTTCTGCTGGATATTTCTCAGTGATCAGTTACTCAGTAAGAAACATATCTTGGTCAATTTATTTGAGAAAAAAATCTTACAAAGCATCAGATACTACAAATCTATATTCAAACAATTAAAGGAACCCCAAAGACTAAGTTTCCAAATTTTTCTTTGTTTTTTTTAAACAACTAGACAAATTGTGAGTCTCAGAAGATGGCTAAGTTTTTTGTAAAAGCTGTAACCAGTGTGATACAGCACAGGATGGATCAAGATATTTGCAGAAGGGACTAAGCTCATAGTAACTTCTGCTGGTAAGTAATTTTCTCTTTTTTCCTCCTCTGATCTTGAAAAATTGATGAATACCCTTTAGAAAAATCAAGTTAAAATCTATCCTGATCTCGCTGCCACATTTGTGGCCTCAATATATGAACAGTCATATCACAGCCAATAGTTGCTGGATGGGGAAACAAATATAATCTGTAAATGTATAAATGGTTTCTTACCTTCGTTATGTGTAGGGAGATTAAATTGTACTTTTAGAATAAACAGAAAAGATACAGTGAATATTAAAAGTTTGAGGATCATGTCTGTAAAGCATGGGTATAAGTTACTAGTTAAATAATTTTTTTTTTGGGTCAGGGACATTTTATGTGAGAGACATCAAAATGGTATTTTGTTAATTACCTCTTCTATTTTGAAATAAAGCATAATTTTCCTTTCTCTCAAAAAAAAAAAAACAACAAACAAAACACCACATGATTAGTTTGATCTTACACTTAGAACCAATTTGTAATTATAAATTCTTAGAGTAAATGGCTATTGAACAACAGTACATTCTGATTCTTATTACTTTAGCTGCTTAGAGGAAACACTTAGATCAGATCAAATTGTGCTTTTGACATTTTCCTTACATAGTCTCTGTTCTTGATGTTGACCCTTGAGTCAGTACCAACTCACAGGTGACCATCTGGTGGGTTTTCAGAGACAAGTGGTTTGTTTTGCGCTTCGTTTTTGTTTGATGTTAGAAGGGTGAATTGTATAGATTTATATTGAGATTGAAATAAATACAGATGCCATTTTAAAACAATCACAAAAGTAGCTTTCTATAAAGGGTTTTCAGGTAGTGGGAGATTTGATGGCACACTCATCAAAGTATTTGGTCCTGGAACAAAGCTCGTTGTTACAGGTAAACTTTCTTTAAATATTTACCTTTACCTTTAAATGTATCTATTTATTGTAAACTGAGTCCTGGTAGGGGCTTTAGAATTCCTGTATTTAGATCCATTTTGGTCAAGAATGATGGTGGGATAACTGGAGAAGTTGATGACTTGTTTACTTCCTAAGGAGGCTATATGCTGACCTAGCTCAGAATAGTGTTCTAAAAGTGAATTTAGAAAAATTTACACCTGAAAAGAATGAAAATGTGCTTTTGACTGCTAACACAAAAGCTTTATAAACATGTTTTGGTGTTTTACATATTTTATTAAAAGATTATTAGGAAATTATGCATAACTCCTTGAATAAATAAAAGTTGGGAAAAAAGTGAAAAATTCAAAGAATGTTTAAATAATTTGTCATTTGGTAAGAAGAGAATTAACCAGTTGGTGATTCGGTCACCACAACTAAATATCAAATATCAAAATATGTGACCATACTCAGGAATATCACAAAGTAGGTCTATTTATTTTTGGTTTTGTGGTTTTTATTTTTCTTTTCTAAATATGATTTCCATAATATGAGTTCAATATGATGGCTTCCTCCTCTTTAGCCTTAAAGATACATTTTCCCCTCGATAAGAGAGAACAAGGATATTTGCAGCTTATGAGAGCCACTGAAATGAAATGTTTAGAATTTTCCATAAAATTGGTGAAATGTTGGAAATACAAAGAGATTGCATATTCTGGTTTCCTGATAGATGAGATATGCAAAAAAAAAAAAAAAAGAATTGAAAAATGGAAGAGAACAAGGATATTTGCAGCTTATGAGAGCCACTGAAATGAAATGTTTAGAATTTTCCATAAAATTGGTGAAATGTTGGAAATACAAAGAGATTGCATATTCTGGTTTCCTGATAGATGAGATATGCAAAAAAAAAAAAAAAAGAATTCGTAAATGGAAAAGTAACTTTTTTTTTTTGGAAAAGTAACTTTCTAGCCCTCTTTTTTCCTAATTTACTACATCCTGAGTGTCTAGCAATGAAATTCAGTCATTACTTACTCACTGATTGCTTTCACACTGCCACTAACCCATAGCTGATCCCCTCTGGGTGTCCAAGGCTGTAAGTCACACAGTACGTTGTCTGCCTTCCTTAGAGCAGCTGGTGGATTCAAACTGTGAGAAAGGACAACTTTTGGGTTAGCAGCACACTTCCCTAAAGACTACACCACCAGAGTCCCCTACATTTATTAATAATATTGACACATAAATACTGTGAGGTTTCTGGGAGACTTTAGTGTCTCTGAAACTCCACTGGAGGGTCAGCTATGAAACCTACTCAGTGGTACAAAATAATAGCAACAGTGCAGGAGAAAGTATGGATTTTGATTCTAGATATTACTTCAGGGTGTATCACTTAGGTTTCTTATATCTAATCTCCCTAATTCCAAAAATCGTCAAGAAATATCTTCCAGACTTATTCGTGTTGTGTGGTGTTTTACAAGTTCATTGTTTTTCAATGCTGCGTTATATCCCACTGTATGACTGTACTATAGTTTCTCTATCCATTTGACTGTGGATGGGCACTTGGGCTGCTTCCATCTCTTTTCTAGTGTGAATAATGCTGTGATAATCATAGGTGTACATACATCCGTTTGTGTCACAGCTCTAACTTACAGATTATGACCTTTAACAGATCCAGTAAAGTGAATAATATTTTAGCAATTTAACATGATGATTGGTAGCTTTGTTTAAAAATCAAGCTAATCTACCATTTCTCATTTTGTAATTGAAATTTCCATAGAAAACTTGGCATGCTGTTGATTGCAATGAGAGCTTATATGGGCTCTATGTAAAGCAATACAAGTGAGCTATTTCCATATAATGGTGACATAATTGGCTTTACTAAATATTTTGATTTTTCTGAACACTTAACTGCAGCAGCAAAGGCTACATATTAAATATGTTAACTTAAGGTCAGCTGTTTGAATCCAACAGACTCTCTGCGGGAGAAAGATAGGTAGTCACCTTCCATAATATTTACCTAGCCTGGGAAACCCCATGGAGGGCTGCTGTAGGTCAGAGCCAACTAGGCGGTCATGGGTTCTTGGCTTGTGAAAGGAATATTTACTGTTAGGATAGTTTTGAAAAGTTTAGGCTTTCATAGGCGGAATGCAAACAAAGAATAACCCCTCACACTTCATTACCATGGATCCAGTTGCAGCCTCAATGGCATTCTGGCAGTAAGTATAGGATGTGATCCCACAAAACCCTAAAGTCATGATGGAGCAAAAATTTGGAAGCTGTCTTCCTAACAGGCATTCTGCCACCAATAATCATAATAACAACTACTACCTTTGGTAGTTTTGGAGAACTTTATATCACTTTTTTTATATCTGTTTCACTTTTGTGGTTTGACATTGGCCCTGGAGTGCCATTGATGGTATATTACTTTACACAAACATCATCACAAATGTTAAGTTACTGGATTTGCTTGGGCTCAAAACTTATTAGTAAAATCAGTCAGGGCAGGAATTTTGATCTTCTGGATGCAGTTCATCATACTTCTGCTAGAAACTGGAGAACTGAGAAGCAAAACCAGTCTAGAGTTTTTGATTCTGGTTAAATCACTGTGGAACTATGACAGAAAACTCTTTGGTGATGGAACAAAACTTGTTGTCACAGGTGAGTGTCTGAAGGAAGAATGCAACTTTTAAGATAATTGATGGGAGGGAAGACACAATTTATTTCAAGTAATAATAATGCATAGGAAAAGGAACATAATAGGATATAGAGGTAAACATCTAGAATATTTTTTTAAACATACCCAATGTATTAAGAATAGCCTGGACAATGGTGTTTAAACATTGCAAAAGGACATGATTTTGTACAGATACAGATTTTTAGGTAGTATGCATGCTTAACGCTTGGAATTATATCTGTGAAGTGTTTAACCTTGAGACAAAGTCTATTTGTATAGCTAACTGTGATATCTTCTCTTTCTGATGGTAAAATTGTCTTTGAGGAGAGCTGGGACTTTGGAGTCAAACTAACTAGAGCTCTGATTCCACCACTCACTGCTTATGCGAACTTGGGCAATTATGCATCGGCTTCAGTTTCCTAATTCATAAAATAGATTCCTAATTCATAAAATGGATAACAATATGCATCCTGAATGGCTGTTTGACAGCTCGATAACACAGTGTGGTAATATGCCTGGCACATGAAGTACCAGACAAATGTTCCTCTGATTCACTGTAATGAGAAAATTGTATCCAGTATCAAGCAAGCATTATTTCACTCAACAACATATACACAAGAATCAGTTATACTTTTACTTAAATGAGCAGGTATTTTACTCTCCCCAACAGAAAAAAAATCCTCATATTTGGAGATATTTTCTTTCAATAAATTTTTTCGTGGCTTAGTAAGAAAAAAGAGATTAGCATGCATTTATTTGCTTTTGTTTTCAGTTGTGCTATATGTTTTAAATTTTAGCCCTTTATCTTAATTGTTGTTGTCTCTAATACCCATATACCTTAAGCCAGTTTATAGCAAATAAGTTTTATTCATTTTTATGAAAAAATATTTAAATTCATACAGATAAAGGTCAAGATTTTCAGTTGTGTAATACAGTTAGAAATTTGTCACACTCCTGAAACTTAAATGTGAAATAGATATAATACTTTTTGTTAAAAGAAATAGAAAAAGGGGGGGAGGGAATAGGCAACACTTAAATGAACATCAATATGTAGATTTGAAAAATTATTCTTTCAACTGAAGATGCCTCTACTAAGTACTACATTTACATAAAATTAATGCTACTGCATATTCATATACCATAAGCAACTTAGATAATTTAACTAAAGTATATTATTTAATTATGCAAATAATAAAATATAAGTAGATTGGACAAGTTTATTTATTCTTT